GTCGAGGCTGCGGTGGCCAGGAGCGGCCACTGCACTCCAGTCTGGGCAACAGAGTGAGACACCAACTCAAAAGAAAAAAGAAAATTATCCTTGATATTGCAAAAGACCTTAAAGAATAAAGTAAAATGACCAACTCAGAGACAAAGCCCTCATTGGTGGTAGTGGGACACTGCCAGGGAAGGGAGAAAGTGGGGGGCACATAACATCATTAACGGTTCTCATTGATCCCAAACATTCAGGTGAAATGGGGACCAAAGAGAGGCCCAAACTTCATCTATACGATGACTACTTATGTACCTAGTCCTGAATTGTGCCCACATCTTTAAAATAAAATAACAATAAAGTAAAATAAAATACACTAAAAAGAAAAAAAAAATAATGACAAAACCGTCTGTTATGGGCTGCATTGGGTCAACCTCACATTTCATATGTTGAAGCCTTATCCTCCAGTACTTTAGAAAGTTACTATATTTGGAGATCAGACCTTTACAGAGATGATTAAGTTAAACTGAGGCCATTAGAATCATGCCGTTATAAAAAAAGGAAATTTGGACACACAGAAAGATACACACACACAGAGGAAACACCATGTGAGGACATAGTAAGAGAGTGACCACCTACTAGCCAGGAAGATCAAGATGCTGACACCTTGATCTTAGACTTCTGGTCTCTAGAACTTTGAAAAAATACATTTCTGATGTTTAAGCCACCCAATCTGTGGTACTTTGTTACGACAGCCCCAGCAAATTAACATACCCTCCTACGACAACATGGGTTCCTCCCATTAGAAATAAGCTGCAAAAGTACAAGCATTTTGTCCGCCTGGTAGGCCTCCAGTAATTATTAGTTGAATGCACTTGAATTAGAATTTACGAACTCAAAAACTTAATAAATTATTGGTGGGTAATTATCATCTCATCTTAATTGATTAGACGTAGTTCTGCAGCATGGCCAATGATTCCCTGCCAAGGCCCGAAATTGCAAAAGCGTCATGAGTGGTAACATTATCAACAGCGTTTTCTGTGTGGCTGCCTCAGCTAGATGAAAGCCACCCACTGTGGTTGCCATTTAATTAAGAAATACATACCTCCTCCCCTCTGTCTTTCCTCAGCCTATCTTTTTTGAGCTTCCCCACATTTGCTATTTGGAAGGAAGAAAAAATATACACGTATTTATAATATTTCCTCTCAGCTTCTCAGACACCCCTTTTTCTGGAATTTCCCCACCCCTCTCTAACTGCTCCTCCTCTTGTTTTGAGTGGGTGTCATTTCTCCAGTGACTCCCTTAAATGCTGGTGGTCCTCAGGGCTCTGGCCCAGCCATGCTTCCTTCTTGTGCTAGGTGGCCCTTGGAGCCACCTCATCTACCCCCAGAGCTCCTGCCACCCTTGACCTGCTCTATATGCAGCTCAGGGGGCTCTCCTGAGATTTATGGTTACATAGTCAACTCCCCACTTGATGCAGCCATTTGGGAGCCTCAGGGCTCCTCACACTCGACACAACCTAAAGTAAACTCATCAACTGCCTCCTCAAATCTGCTCCACCTCCTCCAGTCCTCAGAGGAAAACACGGGCCAGCCCAGTCACTGGTCAATGGCTACTATTTGTTCTCTTATGTATTGGTTCCTTGGGTTCAACACCTCTCATACCACTGTACAACATTAACTAAAGTCAGCGTCACCTGTGCTTGGATTACTGCAGACACTCTTTTGCTTGTCTCAAGTCTTGTTTCTGTTTCAGTTAGTTCTTATGGAAACCGGCATGTGTTTTCTAAAATATGACTGGTATCGTGTCCCCTGCCTAGTGCCCTCCAGTGGCGCCCTCTGCTGTGGGCTCTATAGTGAGGTCCCATAACATCATGGGTGTGAGCACAGCCTCTGCAGTCCAATGCTCGCTCTTGATGCCTGACTCTGCCACTGACTAACCATGTGACACTGAGGATGCTACCCAATCTCTCTAAGCCTCCATTTCCTTCCCTGTAACTGGTGGGCAATAACAAAAAAGGCTTGTTCTGAGGGTCACGTGAGTGAATCCGTGGGAAGCATTCAGAGTGGAGCCTGGCACACAATGATCCTATGAATATGAATTCCCATTACTAATGGTAATGGTAGCATAAAGTCCAATTCCTTTTTTTTTTTTTTTTTTTTGGAGCTGGAGTCTCACTCTGTTGCCCAGACTGGAGTGCAGTGGCCGCTCCCGGCCACCGCAGCCTTGCCTGCTGGGCTCTGGCAACCCTTCAGCTTCAGCCTTCCAAGTAGCCGGAATTACAGGCGCACGCTCCCACGCCCGGCTGATTTTTTGATTTATTGTAGAGATGAAGTCTCGCTGCCCAGGCGGGTCTCGAACCCGCGGGCTCAGTCAATCCACTCACCTCAGCCTCCTAAAGGCGCGGGAATACAGGCTGAGCCACCGAGCCTGGCTAAAGTCCAATTCCTTATCGTCCTGCCTCCTTCCTCACCACCCTGACAGCTACTCCATGTCTCAGTCATACTCACCTTTCCGATTCTCCAGCACACCATGCTCCCCTGAGACACAAACATTCCTGGCACGCGTCCCCCCACAATGTGGCTGGTAAGTGTCTACTCACCCCTTCGGTCATCCCTGCCTTCTGAGTGACCTTACTGATTCCCGTGTCAGGGTCAGGCGCTCTTGTCCACGTGTTCCCAAGCCCACTGCACTACACGGATGACCTTTGACTTGTCCAGGTTCCTCCCCCACTCGGGTGCTCTTCTCCACACTCAGAAAGTAGCCTGTGAATCTCATCAGTCATCCAGTACAGACCATCATTCCAGGAAAAGGATGGGGAGAAGATCTAGGTGGACCAGCCCCGACCATCACCACCACCAGGAGCTCCATTCACAATCCCAGTGGAGGGTAGCTCAGTCTTATCTCAGTTATACACGAAAAGGACACTGATTATACAATTTTCTGTCAAGTCTCTTCTTATGTAAGTTTATAGATGCACAGAGCTTTGTTGGGAACTACAGGTATCTACTAATGCCCCCTGTAGACCAATGAGGCTGCGGCCTCTACATATGAAGAGTACAAATGTCCACACATTCATACATTCATGTCTATGAAATTGGCTATCTCTGCTCACAGGACATCCTTTGGTTATAATTATTGTACTGCTGTTAGTTACAATAATTTTTTTCCCCCATAAGTCAACCAAGATGAAGATACCCTGATAGAAATCCGGACTTTGATCTGCTTACACTGCCAAGGGCTAGTTACCTTCTCGAGGTCTGGTTCCTCTAAGCCCAGTGCTAACTCGTTGTTGTCCATCACGGAGGAAGCTGCCACGTCCAGTGGAGTGGATCCCCTCATCGACGGGGAAGCTGAGGAAGGGGAGAAGGAGCGAGAGAGGGACAGAGGCTACCCAGCGCTGAACTGAGACTGCAGTGCACAAAAGTGGACAGGAGAGGGCAGCAAACACCCTGAAACCTGGTTCACACTGCTTCTCTCCATCAGGGCAGCCCATTCAAGTTAGGAAGAGCTCTATTTGCTATCCTTCCTCCCCATGCCCATACTGACTGTGAATATGGGTTAACAGAAAATCAGTTCCCAGGACCAGCTGTAGCTCCTGTATTTCCAAGTGCTTTTCTGACACAAAACTTTGGGAATCCTTTTCCCTTCTACCCCCTCCCCCACCCGCATCTCAGAAGTCACCAGACCAAATAAGCTCAAAAGACTTGGACATTTCCGTGGCCACCACCTAGAGTTTAAAAGTAGTCTCAAACAGCATGAGCTCAAACCGTTTCCTCAGGTCACCAATATTGTGTTTAACTCTTCTTAGTTTGTTTGGCTCTTAGGCTAGAATTAAGAACAACTCCAAATGGCATTTTACAAAAGGTTGGTAGCCTGAGGTTACCTTTGATAAATTACAAAAATCTGATTTCAAGCGTATGTATCTGTACACTCCACAAATTCATTTGGTTTATATCCAGAACGGTGAGTAAGGCATTTGCATTGACTTGCTTTTCTAGTGATGGTGGTAGATTTACACTGCTTATCCATAGCTGCTCTTGGCCAGTCTGCCTTGCAGCTAAAGAAAACACTTGCTAGTTGGCTGATGGGACAGGTCTGCAACCTGCAGTCAGCCTGCCATGGAGAGACTGGATTCATGACCTTGGTCTGATTAGCACTGCTCCCTGGTCAGGTGGGTAGGCTGGGAGGAGCTGTGTCCCCAGACCACATCCACAATCCCAGGCAGCATTTCATAAAACACAGACCACTAGTCCTAAGAGAGATGAGATAAAATTGTATGGCTATGCCAGTACAAATGTGTCTCCAATGCTGGTTAGTAGCAACAGCTCTACTTAAGTTGGAGACACAGAAATGGTATTAATATTTTAGGCAGGATCCCCTCTAGCATTAAAAAAATGTTTTAAAATTTTTATTTTAGATTCAGAGGATACTCATGCATATTCATTACATGGACATATTGTGTAGTGGTAGTGGTAGAGATTGGGCCTCAGGTGGCCCATTCCCCAGATAGTGAATACTGTGCCCCACAGGTAGTTTCTGAACCCTAACCTCCCTTCCTTTCTCCCCCATTATTGATGTTCCCGGTGTCTATTATTTCTAAATACTGTAGGATGCATGTCACTTCTTTCCCTCTATTTCCTAAGTGGCCAGTAGAGGGAGTGCAACGTCTAAGTCAAAATGTGGAAGTTACAACATGACATACATACCTAAGCCAACACTGCTATTCTCCAGCAGGTAACTAAGATGCTCAAACATGGCCTTTTGATTTTGCCGGCTAATTCGACAGAAATAGCAGAGGAAGCGGCAGCAGCTAGCAACCATCTTTGGAAAAGCAATCTATAAGGAAGAAGTAGGAAGTGTCAGAGAAAAGACTATCCTGAGGCCTTTCTGAAAAGTCTGACCTCAAAGAGTCTTAGGTGGGTGAAGTCTTACAAACTGCAAACACTTTGTAAAAAGAACTTTCTCTTTACTTCCAGTTTTCCCCCCCAAGACTTATTCCCAGGAGGGACAGAGGGTGGAAACTTAAGAAGAAGCTTCCAAAAATATTGAACGCTAATGATAGTTCCTGAAATATCTTTCGTCCAAAGGAAACAGATGTCAAACAAGAATCCCAGTCATACTTGGATGTCATGAAATTGCAGGGCCCTGTACCATTCTACTGTTTCCAACTAGGAAGGGACAGAACTCTGGTGGGAAATATCAAAAAGGGAGGAAGGTGATGTGATAATCGAGAAGTAGGGCCCTCTGGTATATCAAAGTCCAGGTCCCCTGGGTCCAAGGCTGGCCCTGACAGTTACACAAGCCCAAAGAGCATCACCTTCTGACAATTACTTTTGTCCTTGACAATTGCTCTCCTCTGGGCTCCCAAAGCATTTGTAATCTGATTCATACAATTTAGCACACAGATGCCGTCTTCTATTACATCTTATATTAACACAGTAATTAGCAATTTTAGGCTGAGGCTGTGTCTTATTTTTGATCCTAAAATGCTCAATAAATGGTGCCAGTGTTAACCTCGCTCAGGACCCTCAGAAGACCTTGGTTTCCTCCTTTAGAATTCCAGAGGACGCTCTAAGGAATAAGGTTCTGAAACCCACAGTCTACCTGCCTGCTGAGGCATCCAGACATGTGCTCAGGGATCTTCTGGAGAGACTTTGCTTTCCCAAGACATCAGAAGGAAGCCAATAAGGAATGTGACCTTGGCTTCTGTTCTTCCTTCATACTCTCACCCATCACGCTGGGAAAACTGCATTGGAAATTATTCATTCCTAGGATGGTGGCACGCTGGAATCGCCAGCATTTGAAACCACACCCCATCTACTACCTTCAGAAACCATCTAAGCAGAGGGGCGCCAGATGAGTTGAGATAAATGCACAGTTGTGTCTTATCCCCACTCCTTTTTCCTTGCCAACAGAAGCTCCCCCTGGAGCAGGCTCCTTATAGGGGAGCCTGCACGGAAACCTTGTTTTATCAGGAGACTGGCTTACAGAGGAACCATGAACATTCCTGAGGGAACACTGCCAGGATCATTATTAAGATCTTGTTTTCCTTTAGAACAGCCTTCTCCTGACTCAGCACACCAGGATCCTAACTGGAACCCGGAGTTATTGCATCTTGGAAGGAGCAAGGCCGAAGAATTTGAGAAGTAAACTTAGCAACTGAATGGCCCAGTGGGATGAACAAGAAAAGCCCCCAAGCTCCAAGAACCAGAGCTCTCACATGGTGGCATTCCAGCCAGCGCTATAATCCCATCTCCTGACTTCTTCCTGGTGTTGTGCACATCCTTCCCACTCCCTGGGAAGAATATCTAAGGCAATGGATGCCAACAACGTGGTTCTGAACAAGGCACCTTATGTGCCCCTGCCCCAAAGGTCACGTTCTCGCTCCCTCTCTTTTTAAAGAGACGAGGTCTCGCTATGTTGCCCAGGTTGGTCTAGAACTCCTGGGTTCGAGCAATCCTCACATTCTCTTTATAGCATTACCTGAGATTTCTCCGTACCCAACACATTCACCATCACCTCCATCACCGTCTCATGCATGCCAAGGACTCTCATGAGGTTGGGATGCTGGTAAAACACCTTGTTGTTCATTATGTCTCTAGGATAAGGATCAGAGAGAGACTTCAGGACTTGCCTATTTCTATGATATAAAAATTCAGGAATGGGAACAACAAACACATGGGGGGGGGTGTGGAGTTAATAGAAAAGCGACAGACTGAAAAGATAATAAGAAAGCACTAGAGTCATTTTTGGCTGACAGAAATATTTTGTGCTCCTCTATTTCTAAGTACTTTCCCTCTTTGAAATGACATATTAAACATGTCTCTTTTTTCTGTTCATAATAATTTTAGATACCAACGAAGTTTTGGGACATTCATTGGTGTTTAAAAAGCCATGACATTAACATGTAAGAACAACTTATGTCTGTAAGTCGTTCAACATAAATCCACATCATAAAGCTACAGGCAACTCAAAATACAGAAACAGCCTGCTTCTTGGCTGTGTACTCCCTTGCTGGGGGCTTGCTTTCTGTTCACTCCTGCTTTACTCCCCTTCCCCCAAGGATTCCAACATGACATACATACCTAGGCCAACACTGATGTATGTATGTCTTCTGTAATAGTTACTGCAAAGGCTGGGGGAAAGACCAGTGTTGTAGCTTTATTCTTTTCTCATAAAATCTTCATCTCTATGATAAAATTTCTCTTTGAAAATGAGTTTGACAGCCAGGCTCGGTGGCTCAGCCTGTAATCCCGCGCCTTGGGAGGCTGAGGTGAGTGGATTGCCTGAGCCCGCGGGTTTGAGACCCACCTGGGCAACTTGGTGAGACCTCATCTCTACAATAAATCAAAAAATCAGCCGGGTGTGGTAGTGCATGCCTGTAATTCTGGCTACTCGGAAGGCTGAGGCGGAAGGATTGCCGGAGCCCAGCAGGTCTAGGCTGCGGTGGCCGGGAGCGGCCACTGCACTCCAGTCTGGGCGACAGAGTGAGACTCCAACTCAAAAAAAAAAAAAAAGAAAATGAGTTTGACGAATGCCTGCATTTTCTCCCCTAAGGATTCTCAAATCAAAGTCCCTTTTCTGGACCTTGGTGATGCTCCTTTGTTTTGCTGGCTTTAAGGTGGTGAAATGAAATGCTAAGAAGGAAGATGTCTATAAGTCTAGTTTTTGATTTTAATCAAGTAAATTGTGCCTGGCCAGTGAATCTTTCTGGAACTTGGTGTTCTCTTCCACAGAATGGAAGTGCTATACTATATAATAACTAAAGGAAGTTCTTTTGATGTCTAAAATGTCACACATCTTTTTGAATACCTGGTTTCTAAGGGAGAGCCATGGGCTATTGTTATGGGTAAAGGTATCTCACAGAACTAACAAAAATGACTATAGTTTAGTCTTGAGAAAAGGGAAGGATCGGGTGGGCTATTTTTTAGAGGCAAGTCACAGAAGATTTCTAGTAAAAAGCTTAAGTGCTCAAATTGCTTCTGTCTTGGGTTGAACACACAGTCCCTTCTTCCAAATATTTTCATGGCCTTCCTGGGGTTATTTTTATAAGAGTCAAACTAGATAACAACTTTTCTAAAAGACTCCTCACACTTCCTTTGACAACGCTCCTTCACCATGAGTAGCAGGTAGTTGGGTCTCCCAGGTTAGAAAGGTGACTCATTTGGCAAGGATATAACCATGTGAGGAGTGAGATCAAGATCAGGGTACACAGAGATTTAATATGATTTGATTCCAGAACATCGCTATATCAAGGTCAATCAGTCTTCCCACTCGAAGCTCTCTCGAGAGTCTTGCACGTAACCGAGACTGACCTACCCCAGCCCGTTGATCATGAGCAGCTCCTCTTCCTTGCCCATCCTGACACTGAGGAGGGAGCGGATCTGGCCCAGGGCAGCCAGCAGGTTGATGGTGTCGCTCACGGAGGCCTGGCTGATGGTGTAGGTCTTCCGCAGAGCCCGCAGCAGCTCCCCGATGCTGTCATACTGCCTCCGGAGGAGGTTGAACATCATCCGAACCAGCTCTGCATCCTGGATCTGGTCCTCCTGGGCCCAGCGGATCATCGTCTGTGAGATGAGTTCCTTCAGTGTTGCTGGAAGGACAACAGGAAGGACCAGTACTGTGGCTGTCATGGCTCCGAGAGAGCTGGCCATCTCAGTTACTTCATTCAGCTACATGGCACATCATCAGTTGTTGGTTGAAGTCGAAAAATTCTTAGTTTAAGGGTGGGGCATGACATGTACAGAAGTAGACTATATTAACCGAAGACAAATATGCCACCCATTGAACAAGAATATCCCAATTATGAGATGCGAGTGCTAAATATTCTATTTTGATCAAATAATGTTTCAATCAATGTCAGAAATGGAATAATAAGACTGTCCTTATCTTCAAAAAAGCTCACAAGTCAGTTCTTTACATTTTAATAATAAATAAATGTTATCTTTATTTTATTAATATAATGTGATAAATACTACAATGGGGATATATGTAAGTTTCGTGGGATAGAGCAGGAAGTGATTTGATTCTGGATGGGTGAAAGCATAAAGAGAAGATATCGGCCAATGCTTCTTTAGAGGAAAGCAATATTAAGCACAGGAATTTCTCTGCCACTGATACTATCTTCAAGTGCTTTAAGACACCACATACCAGGAACTGATTAAACTAAGCCATTGATTCAAGAATTATGAAAGGTATTTTAGATGTTATAAACATAAATGTACTTCAGGAGATGGAGAGGATTGGACTGAGAGAACATTTTGTCAGGTCTAAAGATTTTGCCATGGGACATCTGACCATCACCCATTGAACTGACGTCTTGACCCTGGATCCTTGGCAGGAATCAGCTGACATATTGTATCGTGGACTACCTTCATAGGCATCAAGAGAAACACACACACACACACACACAGACACACACACACACAATGACTTTGAATTTAGAGTTTATCAGGGCTCATACAGGTCATAAAGAAATGCCACTGTCTACATAAACAAAGGAAAGATCACTGAAGTAGGACTCAAACCAGTGCTGGGACCTTCACAGGTTGTACTAAATGGCCCCTGAGCATTGCTGATTGGCACTGGTGTGGGAAAACAATTAGATCTGAGCAGGAGGACAAAGCAGAAGGGAAAGTGTAGGAACAGCTGGGAAGGCACTGCTCACTCCTCCCTGTGCCATACGCACTTCCAGAAGACGCCATGACAGAGGCGAGAAACGCCGCTCCTAAATCACAAACACATCCTAGTCTGGCACTGCATATCACAGTCCAGCAAGATGTGGATCGCACAGAAATCCGTAATTCAGACCAGGGGATAAAGGTAGAGCTAAGGACGATAAAGGTCATTTATCTATGAGTGACAGAACTGGGAGTAAACTCGGATCAGTGCTTCCAGCAGCTGGTGCCATCTCTAATAGTTGAGACTTCTACTCCGTATCACTATATATGGCAGATGTCTGCTCTACATACATTCTTGGCTCATCATAAAGATACAAAAATAGAACTCAGTTACCAAGCTCTAAGAGAGACCTAGATGTAAAGGATTAATTTAACTTACTGCTGTGTCTATCAACCCTGTGGGTGTTCTAGGTTCAGATGGGAGACATAAGATGAAAAACTTAAAAAAAGGATACTCAAGTCAGAGAGAAGCACAGTTAAAAGCTGTTCTTAAGAGACACTGGGCAGGGACTGCTTACTAATACCTGTCAGGTTAGGTCATATCTATATCCTCTGGGGGTGGGGAGAAGTTAATTGTGGACTAGGCTGGGCCCTATCAGGACACTTGTTTCTTCAGTGCCCAAATGTAAAATTCCTGTTTCTCCTAGTTAATATTTGTACAGTTAGGATGAAAGCAAAACAAAAACAGAAACTCTTGAACCCACTATAAGTTTTTCTAGTTCTGTAAGTACAATTCTCTCTTGGCTTGAAAGAATTACTAGTTCTCAACACTAACAACCAAACTCCCAGCAGATTTAGTACATATTATCACAGTCCCTGCCTCACTCCAAAAGCAATGATCAGATGAGGTGGAATTATTAGTCAGCTCAAGCTCAACAGGGAATTTTACAGAGCCATAATAAAACCACGTGCATATTAGCTTTTCCTTAACCTGGCTTTCAGATTAATTCACGATTTGGGTAAACTCTTAACCTCATACTGATTCAAAAATTCAAATCAACATTTACGGCCCAGAGAGCAGACCATGTAAAGCAATACACCTCTCTAGAGGGCAAATGGGAAGTGAAACAGCCCTGTAGACTGAAAGCACGGAGCAAGAAACACTTTACATTTCATTCTTTGTCCAGGCTAGCTTTCAAATATTATGTGTGTGACCCAGCTGAAGCACAGTTTAAGGGGGGGGGGGGGAGGTAGCCTCCAGGTCCTGTCAGAAACGGAGGAAGTAAGACTTTTCATCACTGTGTTGCTGACAGGCAGATGTAATTCCATGGGAGGCCTGACATTTAAGGCCATTTGTGTTGGACAGTGTTTCAAATTGTGAGACCAAGGTCCAGTAAGTGAAAGAAACAATAACTATGAGAAGAAAGAAAATTGGGGAGAGGAAGGGACATTCTCAGGACCCCTGAAAAACAGCATATTTTATGGTCTGGCAGATACTAGAGACACAGCAAGCCCCCAAGCAAACCCAGGCTGAATCAATGAATTACTCAGGTCTAAACATTTTTGGGACTGAGAAAATGGAGCTTTATATCCCCAGCAGTAATACTATTGAAAATTCCTCAGATTTTAATTAGCTCCCATGTACCAGCAGCAGAGCAGTCAACATGGAACAGGGACGAGAGGTTAAAAAGAACATTTTTTTTGTTTGTTTTTTTGAGTCAGAGGCTCACTCTGTCACCCAAGCTGGAGTGCAGTGGCATGCTCACTGCCACTACAGCCTCGACCTGCTGGGCGATCCTTTCGCCTCAGCCTTCCAGGTAGCTGGAATTACAGGTGTGCGCCACCATGCCTAGCTGATAGTTTTGATTTGTTGTAGAGATGAGGTCTCTCCATGTTGCCCAGGCTGGTCTTGAACCTGTGGACTCAGGCAATCCTCTTGTCTCAGCCTCCCAGAGTGCTGGGAGTACAGGTGTGAGCCACTGCACCTGGCTCAAAAAAGAACATATTTTCTAGACTATGACAGGCTCTCAATATAGCTATATACCTGATGATTAAAATACTACTTATAAACATGTGTGGTACATACTGGGGGCTTAATAGTTGTTAATCATTACTACTATCTATCTCAGTAGTTATAAAAGTGTGATCAGATGACCCATGGTGACCCAAGACCCTTTGGGCAGTTTGCAAAGTCAAATATATGTTCATAATAATTCTAAGATATTATTTGCCTTTTTCATTGTGTTAATAGTTGCACTGATGCTACAAAAAACAATAGCAGGGGAAACTGCTGGTGCCTTGGCCTGAATTGGGTCAGCAGTACCCGACTGTATTCTGCCACACTCCCAGAAAAATGCCAAGTTTCACATAAGAATGTCCTCAACGAAACAGTGAAAATTATTCATTTTATTAATAATAAATGCCCGAGTTTACATATTTTTAATATCCTGCATAACAGAACGGTATGTGAAAAAGAAAAGAAGTAAAGTACTCAAAATGCGTATTAAAATTCAGTGTTTTTGCTGGAGGAAAAGCACTTGTGTAATTGAGCTGTGAGCTAAACTGGCTGCTTGTTTTATGGAATGCCATCTTTAATTAAAAGAAAGACAGACTGTGGTTAATCGGACTTGGGAAACTGAATTTTTTTAAAAATGAAAGAAGCCTTTCATTTCAAATGACAGTATTTGTTGCCAATAATGAAATTGGAGCTTTCAAGTGAACACTAGAATTGTGGAAAATGTTTATCTGCCACTGAAAGCATAACAGCTTCCCCATAAAGATTTTTCTGATTGAGCTGTCAATATTAACAAATGTATTTTAAAAGTATTTTATAATAAAATGTGTCAACATTCAGAAGCTGTGATTAACTCAGTGAGCCAAAAATCTCCCAATGACCAATGAATGATGTTACACAAATATTCATGGTGTAAGATCCATCAATGTGTAAGATAGTAAATTTGTGTGCAACAAAGTATAAAAATTTTGTTTTTTTTTTAATTATAAAGATGTGGGGTACAGGGTTAGGTATACAATCATTGATTATGCAGGTACCCTTTTTGATGAGGTATGCTCCTCCCTCTCCTAGCAGTTTCCCTCAAATGCCAATCCCACCTCCCCTCCCCTGACTGTTTCCCACTACTGCCAATTGCTTTCTTATAGTATTATAATTGTTCAGGGTCCGCTTATGAGGCAAAGTAAAAACATTTTGAAAATACAGTTTCAGGTTCCACATGCCAACTACCTTTTGAGAAACTACAACTTGTTCAATTTTGATATAGTATCAGAGAAGAATATCCATAAGTATCTGAGAAGATTATGAAAACATTCCTCTTCTTCCAACTAAATGTTTGAGGTCAATTTTCTTCCTACTCTTTAACCAGATATAAGAAGCCAGCTGCCTTTGATTAAGACAGACATTAAAGAAATTTATGAATTGTTTTTTCCCCCCAAGATGGTTGATTAGAGACTTTCAAACATACCTCACCCATCGAAACATTGTGAAATAGTGTGGAAAGACCAACACAGCGAACTCCAATTAGAGAAGGAAAACGGCAAAGAATACCCCAGATCTCAGAGAGGAGAAGATGGGTGAACAGCCCCTGCAACAGTGCTCTGCAGAAATAAGTGCATGTGATGCTGTAACAAGGGATGGGACTGAAAACTCCCCTCTGAGGCATGCCTTCCAATCAGGGATCTGTTTAACTCAGGCCATAGAAGAACACCCAATTTCTCCTGGGCCCTGAAGCTGTCTTAGGGGGAAGCTGAGAGTTGGTGAGAGGGAAAACCATAGGTATTCTCCCAAATCTAGGTTGGTGAGCAAGGCACCCTTTTTGACTGAGGTCCATGGTCACAGCAACAGCAACCTCTGCAGGCATTTTGGTTTCTGCCCAGAGACAAGGCTGTTAGCTCTGGAGTGGGGTAGGACCTCCCAGAGCCAGAGTAAGGTGGGAACACGGAGATCACACCA